TACTATCTGAGGGCCCATCCCTTACGCCAGCTCTCGTGGCTTCTTTGCTTTACTGTGGTCAAATTACTGGGTGTCAAGTGCATCATGGCATCATGCAGAAAATGTCTCCTCAGTTGGTCTCCGTTTTCTTCCCCTGCTCTCTCCCGCCCGATCCCAGGACGTCAGGTTTCGTTAACCCCCCACCACTCCCAAAAAACGTACCCCCCCCCCCCCATCCAACCCCCCCCCCCCCCCCCCCCCAACCATCCCCGCCCCCCCCGCCCCTCCCCCGCATTTGATTCTGCCACTCTCTCTACCTCTCTGCGCTCCCCTTCCTTCCTCGCTCCCCCCTCTCCCATCCCTCCTTCTCTCTCCTACAGCCTTTAGCTTTCATGGGGTGACTTCAGCCTTGCAGGATTGTCGCCGCGTCCTCCACGGACACACGAGCAATCTGCGCTGTGCAGAAATGCAGAGGTGAATCACAATGGCTAGAGGAGGACAAACTGAGCTTTGAGGGACTGCAGGGGCATCCTGACTTCAGGGGGAGAAGCAACAGGTCAGAAGCTCGGTCCTCTCACCCCACGTCTGACTTTCCCAAGGCCGCATCTGGAACTTTGAGACGGGCAAGCCGACAGGTGGATACTTTCACTGTTTAATTGTTTGCATCATTCATGGTTTAGGAACGTTTGATGGCCACGACCACTACATCTCAGCCATGAGGTCTTTTTCTCCTCCTGCTCTTCTCTGCTCCTCACAGACCATCAGCCTTGATGACGAGCTTCGGCTCGTGACTGCTAGCTGGGACAGAACCCTCAAGGTTTGGCACGTCAAAGAGGTCTATCCTTTTCTGTGAGCGCGTCAATGCCTGATGCGTGGCTCCTCCAGGGAGGCACAGGGGCAGACTGCAGCGCGACGCTACGAGGACACTCCTCCTCCGTCCTCTCGCTTCAGGTGCTTTCCTGCCCTGTGCCTGTCGCCTGAGCAACGGCAGAGGAACGGCGATCGGGCTGTGAGCGGGAGCCTTTCAGGGGAGGTGAGGCAGAGAGGCTGGCTGTGACTGCAGATGACATGCGGCTAGTTACTCGTGTGGAACCTCCTGACCGGTCAGAACACCTTCAAGACTGCTCCATCGGAAGGGTGCGCAATCAACGCCCTCTCGTGGGAGCGAAGTCTCATCTTTGGGGCTTCAGACACGCAATTGCAGGTTCTCGTCTCGTCTTTGCTTCTTTGCTCGCAATTCTGTTGTGACCACCAACGTGTCTCTGTCGAGGGTTGGAGGTGTTTGTCGCAGTGTGCTTGTATCTGTGGCCTTCAACACCATCTCTGATCGTCTGGACCAGATTGTAGATCTCAACGCTGGGAAGAAGGTACAGACCCTCATAGGGCACGATGACGTCATCACATGCATCATAACGTCGTTGCCCTGGATCATCACAGGAAGTCGAGATTCTACTGTCAAGGTGAGAACCCTCGTCGGGCGATGCTGTCTCTACGTCACGGCTGCCACCAGGTGTGGTCCTCGCGATCATGGACGTGCGTGCGGACTATCTCTGCTCCTGGGGTCCGATGTCTGGGGCTGTCGCATCGGTAGCGTGACGATTTTGATGTCTTTCTTTGACCTCTCAGCTCAGGCTGCTGGCTGTTGGAATGGACACCGGAGAGCTACAAGTCTGGCAGCACGAGTAGGATCGCGAAGCATTTGATTGACGTCCAAGATCGTTCGGATGGTCAAGCATTTGATCAGAGCCAATCTTTCTCTCTTCTGCTCCTCTGCCATGCCCGTACACGCACAAGGCCCTCAACAAACAGCGATTAAAACCCTTCTCCCTCTCCCATTGCCAGCTTTCTGCAAGCAAGATGGCAACCAACGGTTTGCAATTTTTGACTTGTTGTACAATAATTTACAATGATTTCCCGTTCCAACTACACGATGCAAGTCTCATCAATACCCTCCACTCACACAGCACAATACCTCTATCGAAAATGGCCAAATCTTACTGCGCGCACCATCACAACACTGGCCCAGTATTCTGAACCTCCTGCTTCTGCCTCGTTCGTCTATCCCCTTTGTCCTCCTCCTGCCGAGTCCATGTCTGCGTCCCATCATCTGCTCCCTCCTGCTCTAGCTCCATTGAGCTCTCTTCGATGTGCACGTCAGGCAAGATCTTGCTCCAGAGCGCCCGCTTCATTCCTAGGCCCTCGTAAGCGTCTATCCACCTGCTGTGACTGGCCTCGTCGTAGCCGAGGGAGAAGTCGAGGAAGATGCTGCGGCGGTCAGACACCGGGCAAGCGGTGAGGGAAGGAGAGCCGAAGTACTGGAAGAAGGAGGACTCGGGGGTGGGGGAAGAGCAGGGCTGTTGGGAAGGAAAACAGGGCTCGGAGGAGGTAACTGTCATGGGTGGCAGAGGAGAGAGACAAGAAAGAGGAGGGAACTGTGCTAAGAATGGGAGTCAACGTTCTCAGAAGGAAGGGTAGACCGCTGAGTGAAGGAGAGCGAGGGGAGGGGAGAGAGGGGGAGGTAGCTTCTAACAAGGCGCGGGAGGCTACTCGCAGTCTCACCAAACGTCGCGTGTTCGACTATCTTGGTCGGACGGTCTGGTACCATGATACCTCCCCTTAAGACGGGCTTCTAGATGCGCCCCCAGTCGCTATCATAGTGCCGTAGCTCAACTCATGACGTAGGGGTACGGTCCTCCCATCCTGCCATCCTGGCAACTAGTCAGCCTTGCTGACTCGGCTGACTTGGCACGGCCCGGCCCGGCCGCGGCCGGGGCTCCGGGAGTCGTCACCGACTGCCGCGACGATCGGGCCGAGATCCGGGGCCCGGGCGCAGTCCCGGGCGGCGCGTCAGTGCAGCGGGCCGGGCCAGGGGCACCCCGGCCACTGGCCACGTGTGACACTGTGCGCCCTTACCACGGCGGTGGCAAGTTTTTCGAGCCTGCGGCGGCAATGTAGTACGGTACGTGCGACGAACTCGGAAGAGGGGGCTTTCCTAGCCGTCTTGCTAAGGTCCTCTCATGTCTGGATACTTGGCCCTGTGGGTTCCACATCCTAGAAGGATACAGTCTATCTCTCATGTGCTCCTCAATTCTGGTTTCGTGTGCATTAAACTCGGTCTTGAGCAAAAACTGTCTTGTTACAACTAAGGTCGATATCAGTGATGTCTGCGGCATTACTTTGTCACAGTACAAGTCTAACAAAGGCTTGTGCTCCCGGTTAGACGGTGCGGCGCGGCGCCCGCAGCGGCCGCCACTCACTGACGGCGCCCGACGGCTGTGTCCGTCGCCCGGGTCCCAGACCGTCGGACGGTCAGGCGTTCAAGGGAGTGACTCAGTGATCGGACACGGTCATGATCGGACCGTACTGTAGCGGCTAGTGACGGTCACTGGCCCTTGGCTTCCGGTTCAGCCTCACCGTCTGAGCAACTGGCAAAGTTGGGCCGCCAGAACCACTCGGCCCCTCGCTGGGAGGGAGGGAGGGAGGGAGGGAGGGAGGGAGGGAGGGAGGGAGGGAGGGAGATGAAATAGATGAGGACAGTTTCTTGCAAAACTCAGATTATTTGCTACCGGCTTCATTCATGGATTTTATCTGGCCGAAAACATCCATTACAGGAAGATTCGAACTGAAGGTTTGTTTTCAAAGACTAGGTGAGCAATTATCTTCTATACTTGGCAATGTGTTCACATTGATAGACAAAGATAGCAAGCTCTACTAAAAAGAAATGCAATTGTTAGTCCATGTAATCAGGTAACGACAACACAGTCTGCAATCGTGCAGAGTCATGTTGAACACCAAAGAAACTGTCGAAGAATTCTTTTGGTGCTGGAGGACAAGTGTCTGATTTCCGTTCGGTAATGACGACTCCTTTTCTTCTCGAAGTATTGTCCATGGAACCAAGGGAGCCAGGCTCCAATGGCGGACAAACAGAGTTTGTAGCAGTGATTACCGAGGACATTGTAAAAGCCTAGACCAGACTGGAGCAGCAACGGAGGTAGGGGATGAGACAGATGTCAGCTATCAGGACGGAAGGTGGCAGAGAGGAAGAAGGGGACTCGGGAGGAAGGGGGGGGCGGGGGGGGAGGGGAAGGGAGGAATTAGCAGGGAGCAGCGCCAGCTGTGTGTAGTCTGAAGGACCAGGATCAGAGCAGGCGGTCAAACTGGGGTGATTGCGGGGGGAGGGAGAGTACCCTACCCCCTTCGGGTCTGCTTGACTCCGAATGTCGGACGGGTAGTCATCAATTACGGTCGCCTCAGGCTCCCGGAGCGGCTCGGATCGCCGACTCTGTGACTGAGGCTCAAGTAGGCTGGGACCGTCGGTGTGGCACGGTGGCCCTAGTAGGTCCCGGGTGGTCTCAGCACCCGGAGGCTGCAGTCACTCGCAGTGGCACGCCCATCGGGCGACCCCGCCGGCGCCGGGCGGGGGCGGCCCGGCCGCCGCCGCCGGCCGGGCGCCGCCGGGCGCCGGGGGCCCGGGGGCCGGGTGACCGTACGCTACGCCGCCCAGGCGACGGTACGGTACGCCGTGACGGTCAGTCGGACCGGGACTCGCCGCCCCCCCGCCCCGGTGACGGACCGGACCGGCCGCCCGGGGTTCCGCGACTCTGTCCCCTCAGTGGGGGCCCGGGCACTGTGACGCGGCCCGGCCGGGGCCCGGCCGGGCCGCGCTCAGCTGCGGCGGCGGCCCTGCCGTCCGTCAGGCTCAGCGGCTACTAGTGACTTCCACGGCGGATGCGATACTAATAGCTAGTAAGTGAGCCCGTTACCGTTGAACTTCTCAGTGGCAAGAAATCACGGTTCAATCATTCAATATTATATGAAGCTGAGAGGTTCTTGCATCGAGAGTCGGCAGTGTATAACTACTGAGTAACGGCGCCGCTGGGGACTCAGGCGCCTAACTGATAGTACCCGCCGGACTGACAATAAGCCTTAGACAATGAATCATATCAAATCAGCCAAGGCTTCTTGCTTATCATCGGACCATTCACGGATGGCCCACCTCGTTCCGACGGCACTATCACGGATAACGTCACGTCACAGCCGCGCAAGTTCACGGCGGGCGCCACTGGCGGCGGGCATGCGGCACAGCGGCCCGCCGTCGGACGGTCTCCCGGCCCGTTTGCAGCGCGGCCTGTCACTGGCGAGTGCCGACGGTGCACGGACGGACCGGCCGCCGGCGGCCTGCCGGGCCCCCGGTTCTCGGGAACCGCCGGGAGAGGAGTCCTTGTTACACTGTCGGATCGCCCGACTTGAAGGCTGCGCTGCCCTCATAACATGATTCGTCGCATTTGAGTTGGACTGACAGCTGGGCAGTTCCTGGTAGCGCCAAGATGCGACTCGAACGGCTCTCCGGCTCTCCAGGCTCGGCAGTTGGGACGTATCATTCACGATTGGTGACTGTGTCTGTCGATTTCACATCCTCATACCCCCTGCATGAGATTGTATCTTCCGCTCCAACGCAGCAATCTCCAGCTTGATCTGGGATGGCGTCTCATACTTGAAATGATTGTTTCCAACTCCTGCCGCATCAGCTTCTGATCGCTCCTGTTCATCGTTGTTGTCTTCGGAACACAACTCCCTAAGTCGATCATCGAGATCTCGGATCTGCTGTTTGATTGCCTCACTTGTCTGATCTTTTCGTTGCAACTGCCATGAAATCAACAAGTTCTCAACGAGAAGAAAGGCTTTCGTACCGATGATCCTAGACGGACTTGACTCTGAAGAGTATTCTTGAGCTGCCCACTCTCGAGCATCTTCTTCTCCTCATCTATCATCTTCATGATATGATCCGTAGGCATGCCTCCCCGCACCCACAAGAACCAAAGGACTGTCATAACACCACCGAAGCATATTGCTGCAATCAGGCCAGGGTTCTGAATGTTGTTGTCAAAGTTTGGGACCTGGTCCCCATCTCGTCAATTTCACATGGCCCTGCTGCTCGAAAATATTCACCGTCTGATTGACAAAGCTCGTGACGTTCTTGGACATCCTTGATGTCACGCTCTCATGCAGTTCACTAACCCTGATCCTGCGGTGCACAACAGAGAATTCCAGCTTGTTGCGAGTGAGTGAATTAACGTCTGTAAATGAAGCTGTCAGAAATATCAGCCACAGGATTCAATTCTATCTCGAGAGCAGTGACAATTTCATCACCAAGACTGGTTGGCAAAACACATGCGAATTAGAGCAGGCAAGGATCACAAACAAGCACGTTATTTATCGTGAGGTATACACAAGGAGATGAAGGCGGCGACGCAAATTGAAGATAGCAAGAAAGAGCAATATATCGCAAGGTGAAGCGAATGTAAGAATGTCACATGTTCAACATGTTTGAATCAGGTGTTAACATGCCATCCTTGCATCATTCACGAGCAAATGTCGCACTGGCAGACCAGTCCTTCAGCATTTTCGCTTCGGCCTCTCACATTTCAGCCGCCCCCTTCTCCCCACGGCACTGCTGGTGCTGGAGTACCCACCTGTTGCTGATCGGAGTCTTACATAGAGAGTACCAGGGAGAAGAGGGGGTAGGGGTACTTCGATCCCTGGCTGGCGGATATGGCCGGCCCTACACACCAGTAGTGATGCATAGAAACATTTAGTTATTCAGCAGAGTAGTGGCTGTTTCTATGTTTGTACCAGGAATGTAGATATTGGTACTATTTAAATTATGAAACATGTATAGACTTATGAAACATGTATAGACTTATAATTGTCATTTGTACTGATTCCTCGTAAGTGTACCTTGATGACAAGGTATCGCTGACTTTTTTTGTACAAGTTTCAGTTACGTTTTGTTACGAGCGATGGTACCACATATGGCTCAGCCAGTACAACAACAAGAATGACATTTTAGTTCGAAAATCAGTTTACTAGAAAAGATTTGTTCCGCTCATTCAGTCGAACTTCCGAATGGTTATAGCTCAACGACACAAACATCCAATACCGAATGCAACAAGTTGGTAACTTTCAAGGCCAGCAGAGCACCGAGGAGGAGGAGGAGGAGGAGGAGGAGGAGCCTTGAAGGTTCCTTGCCTCATCCTACTTGCCTTGTTTAGAATGCCTCGGCTGAGAGCAGCGTTGGATGGCGTCTGGGGCACCTCGATGCCAGCAGCTCCTGAAGCTTGCTCCTCGACCTCTCGAACATTCGCAGAGGTTTCCGACGGCGAGCGAATGACACCACGAGCGCGTGCGAGGTTTGAACTGCTGCAGTTGGATCTGACCTCTTGCTGGGCCAAGAGAGGACAGCAGGAGCAAGGCGGTCGACCTTGTCGGAATACTCGGAGTCCTTCTCCTGCCTGAACCTCCCCCACACTGCGATCCCTCAGTCAGTACACCTCCTTGCCTCCTCTTCGCCGGCATGCTTGACTCACAGACAGCGATCCTGACAGCATGCGCCGGGTCTCTCTTCTCCCCGAAGGTTCGCTCCCATGACGTGGACTTGGCGTGCTCGTAGGCCGCGATGAAGACTTGTGGCAGCACCACCAGCCGGTGGGTTCTGCTGACCTCGTACAAGTGCGAGATCTGCGAGGGAGTGAGCGAGAGAGGTCACAGTGAGAGGTCACAGTTGCTGAGCAGCTCACTCCTTCTCTCACCTTGTTCATGCCGTACCCCCTGAACCTCTCGTCATACTTGGGGACAGTCTTGACATCTGCAGCCGTACACACGTCACAGGAATGATCGGGCATGCGATCGAGCTACTCATGATGACGTAGGGCTCGTAGTTGCTCTGGTACTCCACCTCGTAAGGCTCTGTGCTGCTGAACCTGAGGCACCGGATAAGTCACCAGCAGCTCCTCCCTCCTCCCCCC